CCAGGCCTGCTGTCCCCAATTTCCCCATCAGCGTTCTCCAAGGACAGTCCCTCCCAGAGAAACCTAGGATCCGGGGCCGGCTAGTTGCATCTGCAGCCTGGGCAGCCCAATCCAGCTTCCCCAGCCGAGGGACTGTCACCACAGGGTGCTGCACCTACAGCTGCACTGAGTAAAAAAAAAAGTTAATAAATATACTAATCTTTGACTAAAAAAAAAAGGCTTTTAAATGCATTTTCCCTGAAATTTTCCAGTGTATTCCACAATGCATGAAAAAAATATATATATTTCCCCCCCAAAAAAATATATCTTAAAATATTTTCCATCCTCATGTGCGCATCTTTGGAGAGAGGAAGGTACGTCGGGTGTATTTAGACACGCAGCCAAATCTGCCGGCCCCACAGCATTCCCTTTATTGCCTCCGAAGAAGCTTTTGCCGGGGCAGTGGGTCAGGCTGGAGCGCTGCGTGTGTAAATACGGGGTAGTGCCCATGGACACACGTGCCTCGACACGTGGCCCGGTCATGGTGGGAAAGAAAAGACCCCCAAATCGAAGTCATTTCACGAACGAGTGAGGGGATGAGGAGTTTTCACAGTGGATCGAACCTCGGACGATACCGGGGACGCGGAACGCCGCTCCGGCTGAGAGCTGGGCAGTTCGTTGCATGGAGAAGTGGTTTGAGCCTCTCAAAAGGACCGGGGAAATTCAGCCGTCGGCGGAGGACGAAGCAACTGGCAGCTGATTCCCTCGGGCGCTCGTCCATCACCAGACTTCGCACTTTTTGGGCGGATTCATGGGGGAGCCAAGGGGGCAGCTGAAATGCTCCGCGAACTCCCGGGAGTTGGAGACAGTGCCGATGACGCGGAAACGTGAAGGGCTGTGGGGGTCGGTGATGAGTCCCTCGTGCGAGCTCTCCGGCGTGCGAACTGAACACCACACCTGCAAGCAGAGGGCAAGAGGCGCGAGTGCCGGCGTCCGCAACCATAGGGCCCCACTCGGTGCCAAATTGGACCCCCCCGCTTGCATGATGGGCACCAACACAGCTCGAGCTCCAGCTTTGTCTCGCTTTTTAACCAGCGCCACCCCAATCTGGTTCTCCATCCACCACGTAGCATGTCTGGAGACCTCAGTTTTGCCGTCACACCCTCCCAACACCATCTGGGCATGCCTCCACCCCACAAAAACCTGTGCGTCCATCCTCGCTACCCACCACCAAGTGACCTACCTGGGCAAAGCCAACAAAGAAGAGCTGGTGGTTGGTGAGGCCAAGGGTCGGTAGGGTTTCCTCATCCCCATTCTTTTTCAGCCAGTTTTGATATGCCTGGAGACGGGGACCACAGCAGGCTCAGAGGACAGCACTGATCCCACCATGCCATGCCACCCGTCGCATGTCCCCAGCCCCATGGCCCTACCCGGTAGGCAGCCTTGAGGCCCCCATTGTCAGCGATGTTCTCCCCAAGGGTGTGTTTGCCGTTGACGGCCTCGCCGTTGATGGTGTAGTTGCCATACTGCTCCACCATGCACGCTGTCTGACGCTTGAAGGCCTCCACTGAGGAGTTCTTCCACCAGGGACGCAGGTTGCCATCCTTGTCGTATTCCCGGCCTGCCAAAAACACAGCAGATCCTTCGTCACCTCAACGACCACCCCACCGGCAGCCCACCTGCCTGGCCCTGGCCATACCTTGGTCATCGAAGGCATGCGTCAACTCATGGCCCACCACCACACCAATCCCACCAAAATTCAGCGACCTGCAAGAGGGTGATGCTGAGATTTAGCGAGCAGCTGCTGCTCCCCGCAGCCATGAAATGTAGCCTCAAATTTTGAGACGGGAGGAAATTTGGGAATCCTGCCCTCCCCGTTTTCCCTAGGCTCTTACTTGGGAGATGCACGAGTGTAAAAAGGGGCCTGGAGGATGCCAGCGGGGAAGACAATCTCGTTCTTGGTGGGAGAATAGTACGCGTTGACTGTCGGAGGTGTCATGCTCCACCTGCGGGGACACGGACACGGCCAACATGGCAGCACAAACCCATCGCTGATGTTTGCTCCGACACCATCCGCTTATCACGGTGCAAAGCCGTCAGCACATATTTAACTCCCCAAACCCAGCGTGGTCTGGTGGACACCAAATCCCAGTACTCCGGATATTGTGATATTCCCCGCTGAGCGCAACGGGGAGGTGGAGCAGAGGACTTACTGGTCCCGGTTGGGCGGTTTCCGGAGCTGGTCAGCAGTGACCCTGGCCGAGAAGTTGTAAAACTGCATGACGTTCTCGAAGTAGAGGTCGGACACAGCCTCGTACTGCAAAAGAGCGAGGCGTAAGTGGCACGTGGTGATCGCCTGGCCCCGCTCCTCCCTCCGTGGTCATGTTTGAGCCTCCAGAGCCAGCTGAGTTACAGCCACTCTTGTTTCTCCTCCTCTCCAACATCTGCAGAGTCTCGGGAGGGCAATGAATCACCGAATGGAAACCGGCGCCTCCTCTTCCTGGGCAGGGATCCCGAGAGGCCCAGCCACCCCAGGACCGGCCCACAGCTCCCTGGGAAGTCCCAGAAAAGGGCCAAGGACATCAGTGAGACCTTTCTGGAGGAAACCTGGGGTTCAAGGCTGCCTTGAGGCCATAGTGATGGGCACATGTCCTGCACATGCTAGCGGAGAGGAGAATAGAAGACCCAGGGGATGTATCTGACCAACTCACATCATTGAAGACTTTATCCAGCTCCTTGGGGTCCATGATGAACTTGGGGTAGCCGATCATATTGTAGATGGCATCTGCCTGGGGGAGGTGACAAGGACCAAAGTCTTCCTGGTGCCAGGAATGGAAGGACGGGCTCACCCAGCTCCACCACCCTCCACCATCAACCTCTCCTCCCTGGCACTGCTGCCGGTGCCTCACCTTCTCTTTGGCCGATTTCCTCGTCTCTTCGTCCATCCACTGCAGGGTCTCCAGGCTTTCCTCGAAGGCTGTTTTAATCTCCGCAATCATTTCCTCTGCCTAGACAAAATAAGGTGGTGCAACGTCAATCCGGAGAGCTGGCTTCCCACCCCGGAGAGTTCAAAGCCCCTTCACACCGGTGGGAAGGAAGAAGCCAGGATGCCAAGACAGCACGCGGACTGGTGAAAAACCCCAGTGAATGGAGTTGCACAGTGGACAGAAGGTGAGCAAAGAAACACTGGCTGCCCCAACCGTCCACCATCGTGGTGGCTCACTTGCTGCTCGCTTGGGGACGTACCACCTGCTTGCTGTCCTCGGCAAAGGTGGCCTTGACGAACATGGCCCCCAGGGCAAAGCCCAGGTTGTTGTCTGTGTCGCTGATGCAAAATTTCCAGCGCGGGAGGCAGGTCTGCATGGGACAAGAGGTGGTCGTCAGCAGTGGCATGGCCAAAGCCCCCCACTTTCCCACCCCATTGCCCCGCCGGGAGATGAGGTCCGCATCCATCCCCCTGTGCCAGAGGTGTGACCCCAAAACCTGCCCCACATCTCTATTTTTTGGATGCAACGTGATGGGGACTTTGCTTAAAAAGCTGTCACCATTTTAATGGCAATTTGGGGGTGTCGGGGAGTCCCCCCTCACCTTCTTCGTCCCATACATCACTTCCATGAATTTTTCCTCGGCATCCTGGAACCGCTGGTCGAGGAAGGGGCTGGTTTTCCGCACCAGGTTCCAGATCATGTAGTTGTTGAGGAGACTGCGGCGAGAGGTGGTGAGCGGGCAGCGGGATGTGCCTGCCCACCCTGGGCACCCCTCTGCGCAGGCTGGGGGCTCTCACCATTTATCTGTGGCCAGGATGAGGTCGGAGACCTGCTCCAGGTACTCCTTGGCATAGACCACCACGGGCTCCGACTCGTTGAGCTCCACGGGGTAGAAGACCGTGGCGAGGAAGGGCATCCAGTCCACGGCCGGCGCCAGCTCCTACAAAAGCCATGCCACTGCTACGGACCCAAAAAACCATCGGAGGGGGGTGGCAGTCGCTTCCCGAGCTGGAAGCTGCTGCATCAGCCCCCGTTTGAAGGATTCAGCTGATTTTGCAGAGACTGGTTCCCATAACAGCAGCATCCTCCAAAGGTCGGAGGGGAGTAAACAATTTCCTCCCGCAAAGGAAAAGAAAGTGGGGCGGGTGTCAAAAATGTTGACACAACCCATTAGGGCCCCTCTGGGGACATGGGGAGGTGACCGGGCTGACGTCCGCAGCTGGACCGTGGGCAGCAGCGCCAGGAGGGTGTTAGTGCCGTGGTGGGACAGTCGCCAGCCCCGGGGGTGGTCCAGAGGCTGGGAGGAGCGGGTCAGGGGGGGATTTCCCCAAGGAGGACACGGGTCAAGCTATTGCACAAGAGCTTCTCGGGCGGTGTTGGGCTTCCTCAGAGGAGCTACGTCACCTCCACCCGTCCGCCCCGCTTCCCAAACCACGGCGGAGTGGTGAAGCTTACCAACCCCATCCGTACCTTCAGGTCTCCAGCCGTCATTTTATGGTAGATGACCTCCTCATCCCGGTGTTTCTCCTGAGGAATGGTGATGTTGGCCAACGCCGTCTCGAAGTCCAAGATCTGCTGCATCTGCTGCCGCGTCGACTCCTCGTCGGTGCCTCCCAGGAACATCCCCAGCTGCACCATGTAGTTCAGGTACCCAGCAAGCACCTACGTGGTGGGATGGGGGGGATCAGCATGGTGGGCACCACCCACCCACAGCACCTCCCTGGCAAAGCCAGATTTCCCCCGACGACCTCACCTTCTCATTCTCCGTCTTGTTCAGGTAGTAATCCCGCGACGGCAGGCCTAACCCCGACTGATCCACCTGGATGACGTTGCTGTTGGAGTTTTTGGAGTCGGCGCTGACGTAGACGGAGAAGAAGGGCGAGGTGCGGTAATGTGCCGTCACCTCCCGCAGCGTTGCGTTGAAGTTGTCCCCTGCCCAGGGACCCGTGATGTTCCAGCCGCCCAGCTGGGGACAGACAGCAACTGGCTTTCAGTTAAGGAACGACCACTTGGTGTTGCTTAAATATCCCCCCAACACCCCTCCTGGGGGGAAACATCTTGCAATGGGGCTAAAAAGCCCTGGAGAGGCAAGACCTGCCTATAAATCCCTGCCTCTTTCTGCCCCCCTGCCCTGGGGGATGCTCTGCCCCGGGAAGCACCGGGAATGGGATCTGGAAGGTGCTGGGACTGCCCATAAATGAGCTTTTTCCTCCCATTTGCAGCCGCCCGCGGAAGGCGGCTTTTCCGCAAGGAAGGGGACGAACCTTTTGGATGAGCTCCACAAGCGGGGCAGCGCGCAGCTCCTCGATCTTGCTCTCATTCATGCAGGCTTGGTAATAACGCTGCGCCTTGCGCTCCGCCTCGCTCGACACGTTGGCCGTGGTGTTTTCTGCGGGAGGTACCCGGGGGGGGCTCGC